TACATGGGCCTGCCATTAAGATCTGGGAGAAATTTCCGGAGAGAATGCCATCCCTCCACAGCCGGTAGACGTTCCAGAGGCTGTGACAGAACTTCCCCGGGGGTTCACAGCCTCTCCTTCAGCCCTGGCCGCACAGCTGACCAGCGGTCTGTCCCTCTGAGATGGGGGGTGACTGGCGCGTGGGATTACGGGTAGATGGTGGCAGTCAGCACCCTGGCCTTGGTCTCCAGCAGTGACCAGTGGATGCCCTGAGCGTGGGACTGGCCTCCTGAGCTGAGAATCTTTGGCGTTCTTATCCCAGCTGGCTGGCCGTGCACCCCTGGGTGCCAGCCCCTCCACCCCAAGAACCGCGCCCTGCTCTCCACGGTGTGATGGCGCTGCAGCTGGGGGGGTGCTTTGAGTCGGTTGTACCCCAGCTCCCCCAGGACGGTTGAGGCCGCAGGAGGGCAGGGGGGGCACCTCCAGCGGTGCCCAGGTCCTCAGGGGGCTGCTAGTTAAGGACCCCACTTAGACACACGACCCCTGGCCTGAGCGAGTCCAGACCCCAGGTCCTGGCGATGGCAGGCTCTCTGGTGGCTTCTGGCGCTGGTGTCCATCATCCATGTCGCTCAGCCACCCGGGGAGATGATGGAGCCGACATTGCCTGCATACCTGGTGCCAGGATGGCCAGACCCTGGCCTCCACCCCGCCCTGTTGGCCACCAGCGATGCTTAGGGTCCACCAAAGGACACGGTGCCGTGAGGGGCTGCTGGCCTGTCACCCGTCACCCGCAGGTGCCAGCGTGTTCTAGGTGGGGTCACCTGTGCACTGCATGGCTGTCACCCACAGAGGCAGATCACTGTGACATCATAATAATAGGTTATTCCCTAACCCCAGACTGGACCAGGGGGGCCCTGATAGAGACCCAGGGGGAGACACTCGTGTTTTGTAAACCTTCCTTGCTCATAACCAGCTGTGTAACTGGAGGGCAGGAGCGGAGCCGGCCTGGGCTCTGGGAGTCGGGATGGTTGGCCACGTTCTGTGGGATCAAGCAGACCCCAGCGAGGTCCATGCTGCAGGCCCAACTAACACAGGGCTCACGCCGCCATGCACCAGGACATCAGGAGACCACTGCAGGGCTCGGAAGGCGGCTCAGGGGTACAGCGCTTTCCTCGCATGCATGAGGCACCACATCAGCAGAAAAAAGTCATCTCTCCACCCATAGCACGAGCTGGGATTCTTCCTCATGGTCCCAGGATGGCTGCCAGGGCTCACGAGTGTGAAACAGTCAGGGCCTTCTCCTTTTAGTGCTTGGACGTCATCGGAGAGAAGGTTCTCGAAAATGACTAGCAGTTATCTCAAGACCAAGCAGCCAGTTTAGATTGGGGAGTTTGCCCCCTAGGTGGCATCTGGGTCGTAACTGGGCTGGTGGTACTGGAATTACTGGTGGAGATCAGATATAACCCAGTGCCTTGCAGTAAACAGGAAAAGGAATTATGGCCCCAGTGCTAATCCTGCCAAGGCCCGGAATCCCTACGTGTACTTACCAGGGCCAGACCCAAATGCATATTCTCAGTGTGTGGGCAAATACGTAGGGGGTGAGCTATAGTCCCTGCCAGCCAACTTCTCTGAGTGAGCCTCTCCCTGCCAGCCTCTCTATCTCCAGCTTGCTAGGCTTGCTAGGCAAGTGCTCTGTGCCCCCAGCTTGCCCGCTGAGCTCCTGGAATACCTCCATCTGGCTGATGTGAACGGTCAGAGCTTTAACATAAGATTTCAGCCGGGCGCCCATGGCTCACGCCTGTCATCCTAGCTACTCAGGAGGCTGAGATCTGAGGATTGCAGTTCAAAGTCAGCCTGGGCAGGGAAGTCCATGAGACTCTTATCTCTAATAAATCACTTAGAAAACCGGAAGTGGTGCTGTGGCTCAAGTGGCAGAGAGCTTGCCTTGAGCTGAAATGCTGAGGGACAGCGCCCAGGCCCAGAGTTCAAACCCCATGACTGACAAAAAATAAATAAGATTTCAGTTTGATAAAAACAGAGCAAGCTGCTGTGGGTGTGTACACAGGTCTTGGGAGAGGCCGGGAGCAGACTCTGAGCTGAAGTAGGTTTGAAGCAGGAATGCTGGCAGGAGGTCAGAGGACAAAACGGCTCCCTCCCGCACCAGAGCAGCTGCAGCAGGTGACCTTTGACAGCCCGACTCACCTCTCAGCCTCAGCCTCGATTTACCCACTGAGGCGGCTGTCAGCAGGGGATGAGACACGGGGCGTGGGGAGGGTTAAACGCAAGGCCTTCCAGAGCCCTGAGCAAGTGCAGAAGGACTTCCTGCTGCAGTGACGGAGATTTCAGCAGGGGCCAGGGGGGATAGCCGCCTGTGTTCCCACAGCACAGGCCCCAGGCCTTGAGAACCGTCAGCATAAGTGAGCCCTGCCCTCCTAGCTACTCCAGAGGTTGAGATCTATGTACATGTGGATCGTGGTTCAAAGCCAATCTGAGCAGAAAAGTCCCAGAGACTCCACCTCCAGTGAGCCAGAAAAAAATGCTGGGCAGGAGGAGGCCTGGCTCCAGTGGTAGAACGCCAGCCTTGGGTGAGACAGCCTAGCGAGAACGCCAGACCCATGAGTTCAAGCCCCGGTCCCGGCATACCGGCATACACGAGGGAAGTCATCGCTGAGCCTCTTGGGTGGGGGTGACAGGCTCCCCGCAGAGCCGCGTCCAGGCCTGACTCTTCCCTTCTCTTCTAGACCCCATGATGGAGCTGGCGGGCCCCGACCCCTCTGAACTGGACAGCCAGCAGGAGATGGAGGACTTCGAGGACGGTGGCTACACCTTCACGGGCGTGGACGGCGGCGCGGAGGCCAGCGCCCTCACCGAGCAGGCCATGAAGGAGATGGCCTACTACAATGTGCTATAGCAGGCGGAGGGCCAGGCCAGGGGGGGAGGCCCCGGGGCGGGGGGCGGCCCACGGGCCCCGCCCCAGAGCACAAGCTACTGCCCCGCGCCCCCTGCCCTCCCTCCGAGCCATGCGCCCCTCGGGACCTTCAGACCAAATGGAGACTGTACTACTGGCCTCGGCCTGGCGAGGAAGGGGACCGGAGGCCGGGGCTGGTCTCCCAGGCCTGCTGCTGTGGGTGGGTGGGGACATGCTGGCGGGGCCCGAGGGTCCTGACCGCTGAGCCAAGCCTTGCTTCTCCCCCTCTAGGGGATCTGAGCTCCCGTGCTGGCCAGCACTGCCCCTTCCCCACCCGTCACTGAACTGCCAGGCGGGGCACTGCCGTCTACCTCCTGGGCCTGCCCAGCCCCCCCTCCACCCCCCTCAGCCAGCCTCCTTCCCATCAGCCCCTGCCCCTGCCCGGCCACCATGTTGGGGTAGTTAAGTGTCCCATCACCCTGTGCCATCCTGTATGGGATGCCACAGTGTCCCCCACCCGAGGAGATCTGGAGACACTCGCGGGGACCCCCCCCAGGGCGGTGACAGGGTGAGGCATCTCTGGGGACCCACGGGGCATCCTCAGGGGAGGCCAAGGACACCTGCCGGGGAAGGGACCACGCAGCTTCTTACAAGCATGCAGGTGCCCAGCATGGGCCCGTCTCCAGCGCCCGGAAAAGGCGGCACGCTTAAAGAGGAGGACCACAGAAGGGAAACTAAAGAATTTTTTAGCGAATGGGGGTATTTTGAAGATAATTTATTTCCTTTCTAAATCAGTTGTCATTTGTTCCCTTCCCTGTACCCCCCCCCATTTTTTTTTTTGGCTGGAGATGCATTTTGTTTTTGTGGGATTTTTTTGTTTTTGGTGCCAGTGCTGGGGCTTGAACTCAGGGCCTGGGCGCTGTCCCTGAGCTTTTATTTTATTTTTTTGCTCAAGGCTAGTGCTCTACCACTTTGAGCCACAGCTCCACTTCCAGCATTTTTGGCAGTTAGCTGGAGATAAGAATCTCATGGGCTTTCCTCCCAGGGCTGGCTTTGAACCAGGACCCTCAGATCTCAGCCTCCTGAGCTGCTCGGATGTCGGGCGTGGTGAGACGTGGTTTCTTTTTGGAAGGCGTGCGCTGTGCGTGCGTCTCACCCGGCTGGGCTCTGGCTTGGAGAACCAGGGGGGGCCTGGGGAAACTGGGCAGAAGGCAGAGGGGTGACCCAGGCCACCGGCCTCTCTGCTGCTGACTCTACTTCCTCCTGCCCTGGAAACCACAGCGGCAGGCCCCCAGAGCAGGGAAGGAGCACATTCAGGAACTCGGGGCCCATGGGCCCCCAGCTCCAAGCTCCTGGGGTCTGCATGGGGAGCCATGGGTGGCGGAGCCCTTCGCCAGAGATCCCAGGATGAGCTTGGCGTGCAGAGGCTGCTCCCCACCCCACCCCTCCTCCCTAAGCGAAGGAGTGGGCCTGGCCTGGAGGGGCGCGTGGTGGGGACTGGGCCGCACACATCGGCTCCCCACTCCAGGGCCCCGCCCTCCCCGCGCCCACCACGCCCCTCAGGTGGCAGTGACCGCAGCGTCCCTGCACAAGACGTTTTCCCCTGCTGAGCAGAAGGCTCCCCCCTGTAAACTACCTCTTCCCACAGCGTCTTTCTCCCCCCTGGTACCAAAAAGCACCCCGTACCTCCTCCCCTCCTGCCAGCACAGTGGCCTTGGTCTTGGGAGCCGAAGGGGGAAGTCTGGCCTGGGTGTGGGGGCAGGTCGCCTCCAAAATCAGCAGCAGGTTCCTCGCTTGAACGCCCCCTGCCCCATGGGGCCCGGTACCTGGGCACCGCAGAGGGGCGGGCAGCGGGCAGCACACGCACAGTTCCAGCCCAGGTGATCCTGGCCAGCTCCTGTCCTCCCCTTCCCCGCCTCCCCGGGGGAAGGCGTGGTGGGGTGGGGGAGGGGATAGAAACTCCTGGACGAATTCCATTCTAACTTATTTTGACGTGTACACAAACCAACTCCTTAGAGACTCCTCTTGTGCCGAGCCCTACTGTGTTTTTACGTTCCTGTTGAAAAGAGAGGTTTACTTAGCAATAATTATAAATAAATGGAATATTCTTGAGTGAGAGTGCTCCTTTCCACAACTTTTGGGGACTCCCCTCCCCCAGAAGGGAGGCTGCTGTGTCTCTGTGGGGGAGGAGAGCTGTGGCCGTGGCAGAAGGGTACAGGCTGAGGTCCCCAACTCCCACCCCTTTACCCCAGGGCAGAAGCCCCAGCTCATCCCATACCCCGGAGGAAGTTGAGCAAGTGGGGCTCCCGGCATGGGGGAGGCCTGGGCCAGAGCACGCAAGCAGGAGCGAACTTTGGCTGCTAAGTAGTCCCTTGGTATTTAGGGGAGGCTGGTGGTAGGGTCCCCCCATACCTCGAGGGTACCAAAATGCACAGGTGACCAGTTCCTCTGTAGAACAGAGCCTACATGCACTGTGTTGACGGGGATGAAGTCGGGTTGAAGCTTGATAGGCAGTGCTCTGCCACTTGAGCCAGGCCCAACGTAGGCATCTTACTCTCATGTGTTTGAGACAGCACTATGAACTACATGAGCCTGGACAGCCTCAAACTCGCCAGTGCTGCGATTCTAGGCACCACACCTGGGTCTTTACAAGTATTTTCGCTCCGAGGTTGGACCTCAGGCAGAGTCTGTGTGTGGAGGGCTGACTGTACTATTAAGTACAAATTACTGCGCTCAGATGCAGCGCAGTGGGAAAGTTCCACCTGGGATATGCAAAGGCAGACCCTGGGTTGGGGGGGGGTTACTCAATTTTGTTTGCCAGGACTCCCCCCCCCCAGTCCTGGGGCTTAAACTTGGGGTCCTGAGCACTGTCCCTGAGCTGCTTTTGCTCAAGGCTAGCGCTCTACCACTTGAGCCACAGTGCCACTTCTGGCTTTTTCTGTGTCTGTGGTACTGAGGAATTGAACCCAGGGCCTCGTGCATACTATTTAGCACTCTATCACTAAGCCACATTCCCAGTCTAGCATGTGCTTTTGGGGTGACATTTTTTTAATCACCTTACTCTTTTTGGTTTTATGAAGCACGGTGCATATGAATCTAAGCTTGGGACCCAGGGGCTGGGGCCCAGTCACCCTTCACAGCTGGCACCGGGGAACCTGGTGTCAGCAAAGAGAAAAGGGCAAAGAGAGACCAGGCGACATTTATTAATATCCAGATCTGGGTACCAGTGCGTCACACCTGTAATCCTAGCAACTCCTGAGGCTGAGATCTGAGGAGCATGGTTCAAAGACATCTTGGGCAGGAAAGTCCATGAGATTCTCAAATCAGCCATCAAAAAAAAAAAAAAAAAAAGCCAGAAGCAGAGCTGTGGCTCAAGTGGTAGACTTGAGTGGAAAAGTTCCAGGACAATGTCCAGGCCCTGAGTTCAAGTCTTGGCACACAGACAAATACAGCTATCCACGTGATTGGGACACTGGGATGATCCCCAAGGAGAAAACGAGATGTAAGAGACCATGCTGGGAGGTACCAGGGGAGCTGTGGGCCTGGCCTGGTGCGGGGTCCCACAGTCACCCCGATGGAGGGGGCGCCCTGGTCTGTCACTCTGAGGGCTGCTGCCCCAGCTGCCCCCTCCGCTCAGGAATACACACAGCAGACGGTTTTGTGAAGAGCTTTTTAGTAGCTAAATAGGCCCCCGTGTGTTCAAGGTAGTAAAAAGGGCACTGTGGAGCACTGCGGGGGGGGGGGGGCGGCACTCGGGGAGAAAGGCACTCTTTTGAAAACATCTCACGAAGAACAGATTTCCCCTAGAAAGAACTCCAAAGATCCGGGCTGTGCGGCTCAGCCCTAGCACCGGTGGGGAGAGCCTGCAGCAGGGCCGGGGTCCCGGTTGGCAGCCGGCCGTGTGCAGCCGGGCGGCGCCTCCCCCCCTAGGGCTGGCCCAGGGCTCTGTCCAGGTTGGTCTGGATGGCGTCCAGGAAGTCTGTGGTGTTCAGGTAGTGTTCATTCAGCTTCACGCTGCCAAGGGAACGCCAGGGAACATCAGGGGCTGCTCCCTCCTCCCCAAGGCCATTGGCCAGAGCCCGCTAGGGCAGAGCCCCGGCACGGCCCTCTCCTGGCTGCCACTACCCAGGAGCAGAGGAGCACCGCAGATTCCACAGGCACCTGGGAAGGCCGGTCTTTATGTGACCAGCACCTGGATGCAAGCTGTCCTGGGAAAAGCTGGGCCACAGCGATGGCAAGGTGGAAGATCTGGGTGGAGCGCTGGGCCCGCCCCAGGCCCTCAGCAGCTACCCTTGTCCCCGAGGGCTCCCCAGCTCCCTGCCTGCTGCCCGCCCCAGACCACGCACTTGCTCAGGCCGTGGATGCAGCCAGCCAGGTCTTTGGTCATGGCTCCGCCCTCCACGGTCTCCACGCACACCTTCTCCAGGGTCTGAGCGAACCTACAGAGGTGGAAGTTGGGGGTGGGGCATGCAGGTGAGACCCTGCAGAGGGCAGCCGGAGCCCTGGCGCGGGCCTGGCCTCCGTCTCACCTGATGAGGTCCTGGTTCCCGTCCAGCTTGCCGCGGTGCTCCAGGCCCCGCGTCCAGGCAAAGATGCTGGCGATGGGGTTGGTGCTGGTAGGCCGGCCCTGGGGACGGGGGTCACAGGTCACCAGTCTATGTGGACGCCGGCTCCCAGCCATCCGACAGGGCCAGGGGCGCTGGGCTCTGGGGTCCTCGTGTGCCGCGGGCCCTCCCTCACCTTCTGGTGCTCCCGGTAATGGCGGGTGACAGTCCCATGGGCAGCCTCCGCCTCGATCGTCTTCCCATCGGGGCAGACAAGCACAGACGTCATCAGACCCAGAGAACCAAAGCCTGAGAGGCAGGAAGAGCCTCCTGTCAGCCCCGGCTGAGCCTGGCGCCCCAGCCCTGCCCCGGTGCAGCCGTGAGGACCCGGACTACACAGGCTGACAGCCAGCGGCGCTGGCATGCTAACACACATCCCCACCTCTAGGTACCCCGAGCCTGGCACGCTCCAAGGTCCCAGACCCCAGATGCCTTCCTGTAGCTCCGAGGGGGGCCGTTTTAAGAAGAAGGAAAACCAGAGCACTGGCTAATTCCGAGGCTATCTGCTGGTTTGGGGCTACTTTTGAGCCTTGTGATTTATTTCCAAAGTTTCTCAACTCCAGAAGTCAGTTCACAAGGTCTCTCCCGTGATCAAGGGCTCTGGAGCCGCAAGAGCAACTCCGCGGCACCAAAATAAGCATGCCCGCACACCCAGGAAGACAGAGTGGGTGCCTTGCAAACAGGAAGAGGATTTGTCTTTGAGTTTCTGCTTGCCCCTGGTCAGGCCACCTGTGTCGGTGAGCCGTGGTTCTTGGTGGGCTTTTGGTTTTTGAGACAGTGTGTCACTGTGCAGGCCGGGCTGCCTAGAGCCAATGAGAGGCCCGGGGTCCTCCCGGCGTACCCTGCGCCAAGATGTCTGACTGCACGTCTCCGTCGTAATTCTTACAGGCCCACACAAAGCCGCCCGAGGACTTGAGCACCTGAGCCACCATGTCGTCGATGAGTCGGTGCTCGTACCAGATCTTGTGCTTGTCGAAGTCGGTCTTATAGTGCCTGGGGGCAAAAGGGCCTGTTGCGTGAGCAGAGGGCGGGAGGCTGGCATGTGAGGGACCCCTCCCCGAGCCTCAGCGCGGTGGACCCCACTCCCCACACGGGGTGAGGACGGCACCGGGAGGGAGGAGGCTCTGTTATCTTCAGGAAGCAGCAAAGAAAGAGGCTGTTACTTGTCAAAGATCTCCTGGAAGAGGTCCTTGAACCGCCCGTCGTAGGCCTTCAGAATGGTGTTCTTGGTGCTCAGGTACAGCGGCCACTTCTTCTGAATGGCGTACTGGAAGCAGCTGTGGGCGAAGCCCGAGATGGACTGCAGGAAGAGCGGGTGCAAGCTGCCAGGGCGTGCCAGCAGGGGCTCCGACAGCTCTCCTCCATGTTCCCGGACCAGTTCCTTCCAAAATACCACTCAACCCCAGCCACCGAGGAGAGGGTGTCTGCGATGATGGCTGGTCTATGATCTCCCCCACCAAACTGCTGAGAGCAAGCAAGCAACCTCTCCACCTCTGCTTTGGAAGGCTCTCCTCCTCCTTCAATTCCTGGACCAGATGGCAGGGGTAGGCCCACGGCTACCAGTTCACCTGTACTACGGCCTTCACTAATCAGTGTATCCAATCAGAGCCCTTCATCCCCCAAGCCTCAGTGATTGGCTCAGAGACAGTCATGTGACCCAAGTAAAGACTCCCTTCAGATAAAGCAGCCAGGCAGGCAGGAGATGAGCCCTGGGAGCTCAGGAGAGGAGAGGTGGGCGGCAGGCATGGAGGGACGGCGCGGAGGGGCCCGGGGCTCACCTCGTCCGTATTGTACATGCCCATGCCCACGCCGCCCGCGGGGAAGTTGTACACCTCCCACTCCTTGGCACCGCTGCCATCCTTGGGGGTGAAGACCACCTTGAACGTGCCAGCCCGGTCCACCACGAAGTCTGTGGACTTGTACTGCGGAGAGGAGAGGGGGCTCAGGCCAGGGCTCGAGTGGAGAACAGAACCACAGACTCCGTCTCCCAGCGCGGCCTACCTGATCGCCGTGGGCGTGCCTGCCGATGGTGATGGGTTTGGTCCAGCCCGGGACAAGCCGGGGGATGTTTTTGCAAATGATGGGCTCTCGGAAGACAGTCCCCCCGAGGATGTTCCGGATGGTTCCGTTGGGGCTCTTCCACATCTTCTTCAGCTTGAATTCTGTGAGGACAGAGACAAGGTGGGGCAAGGCTGATGCGGGCGCCTGGAGCTGAGCCTGGGCCGCGGGCCCCGTTCTCCACGCCACCACGTCCAACGCGGAGGGAAAGAGCTAGCTGTCTGGTGAGCCCTAACCACCCTCCATCCCTCACTCTGGCCCCAGGCACTGCGACCTTGACCCTTCCCGGCACAGCTGAGCCCGAGCAGCTGGCAGGGAGAGCCGGGGATCCCTGGCGCGCGCCCGGCCATGTCCTGGCACCTTCCACGCGGGCCTCGTCCGGGGTGATGGTGGCGCACTTGACGGCGACACTGTACTTCTGGGTGGCCAGTGCGGAGTCGATGGTGACCTGGTCATTGGTCTGGTCACGGTTCGGGAGCCCGAGGTCGAAGTACTTGAGCTGGACATCCACATGGGGCAGGATGAGCTGCGGGACAGGCGGGCGGTCCCTCAGTCCTGGCTTCCAAGCCTGCCCCTCATGGGCAGACCTGAAGTCTGGACTATGGCAGGAACACCCGGTCAGGACAGAGTCAAGGAAGGCCCATGGAGAGGGCACAGGGAGGGCTGAGGCCTGCCCCTCCTCTGGGGAGCCTGTCCAGCGGTTTGGCCTCCAGAGAGAGCGGAGCACATCAGTTCCAGACCATGCTGCCCCTTGTGTAGGCCAAACCCCTACCTGTACCATCTGCTGGGGCCCAACAAGTGAGCCACATCCCAGGCTCCACCCATCTAGGTTTCTCCAGACAGTGAACCCCTGTGCTTGGAGACCTTCACGATCAGAAGTAAAGGTCTCAACAGCTGGGCATGGAGGTGCATGCCTGTAATGCCAGTGCTCAGTTAGGAGGATCATGACAGCTACATAGTACATGGAAGCTGGGTACTAGTGGCTCACACCTCTCATCCTAGCTACTCAGGAGGCTGAGATCTGAGGATTGCGGTTCAAAGCCAGTCTGGGCAGAAAAGTCCATGAGACTCCTTTTTTTTTTTGGGGGGGGGGTCTGGTCATGGGCCTGAACTCTGGGCCTGGACGCTGTCCCTCAGCTCTTCAGCTCAAGGCTAGTGCTCTACCACTTGAGCCACGGCGCCACTTCCAGCTTTTTTTCTTTCCGCTTATGTGGAGCTGAGGAATCAAACCCAGGGCCTTATGCATGCAAGGCAAGCGCTCTACCACTGAGCCACCTTCCCAGCCCCTCCATGAGACTCTTATCTCCAATAAACCACCAGAAAACTGGAAGTGGTGCTGCGGCTCAAGTGGTAGAGCGCTTGCCCAGAGCTGAAGAGCTAAGGGACAGTGCCCAGGCCCAGAGTTCAAGATACTCAGGAGGCTGAGGCAAGAAGAGCACTTAAGTATGGGAATTCAAGGCCAGCCTGAGCCAGACCTCTTCTTAAGAAACAGAAGTCTGAAAGCCTGTAGGCTTCAACACCAAGATGAGACCCAGCCTGCTGAGGACAGCCACTGCCCTTCGAGCACAGGCCTGAAATCCTTGCTACTCAGGAAGCTGAGATCTGAGGATTATGGTTTGAATCCAATTCAGGCAGACAAATCCAAGAGACTCTCTATCTCCAGTTAACCAGCAAAAAGCCAGAAGTAGAGGCAAGGCAGAAAAGCCAAGCAAGAACATAAGCATTGGGTTCAAGACACACACACACACACACACACACACACACACACACTCACACTCCAATTCATTCTCTGCACAAGAAAGCGCAGCCAGAAGGTAAAAGCACTGCTGTTCACCAAAAAGCCCTGGGGGCCTAAAGATCCCATGGGAGCAAACCCTCAGCCCCTGCCTGAGGAACCTCCTCCCTCCCTCCCCCCCCCGTCCCCTCTGCCCCCTCCCCCCTGAGGGCCGCACCTTCTCCTTAATGAACTGCCAAATGATTCGGGTCATCTCGTCACCGTCCATCTCCACCACCGGCTTCTCCACCTTGATCCTCTTGTCAGCATCTAGCAGCAGGCGGGGCAGGTCACAGCTGGGCAGGTGGGAGGGGGACAGCGTTCCCCCCCTCCCCCTCCTGCACAAGCCGCTCCCTGAACCCCCCGTGATGTCCACCTCAGCCCGGCCCCCTCAGAGCCTCTCCCCAGGAATATGCAGAGACCAAGAGACGGAGAGGCCCTCGCCAGGGCCCTTGTCCAGAATCAAATTGAGGAAAGGCAATCCAGGGGCCCCTGCCCCCCAAGGCTGGGAAGGCAGCCTTTCCTGAAGCAGTTAGTCTATAGCAAAAAAGCCAGCAGGTGGCCGTGTGGGGTCCTGAGCCGGAGGGGTGGAGAGCAGAGCAGGCACCAATAGGCTCTTTGAGAGAAGTCTGACTTGTGAGGAAAACCAAGTCTAGGAAACCCAGGGGGGCGGGAGGCGGGAGGCTAATGCATCAGCGCAGCCAGTGTCCCTGCCCACGGCCTGGGGCGACACTATGGGGAGGCTCAGAAAACACCCAGCAGAGAACGAGCAGCCCTTCTCCAAGCAGCACCCCCACCCCCTGCACACACCCTCGGAGAGCACAAAGCAGACCAGAGTTGAAAACACAGTAGGAAGACATGGACAACAAACCGGCAGGTGGACAGAAAACAGAAGCCTGTGGAATACAAGCCTCGGGCTGGGCTGGGGACACAGCTCAGCTCTGCAGCGGAACACGTGTCCAGGGCTTCTGAGGCCCTGAGTTCAATTCCTAGTACTGAAGCAAAAACAAAGCTGGGTCCCTGCGCCTGTAATCCCAGCTATTCAGAAGGCTGAGATCTGAGGATTGTGGTTGGAAGCCAGCCTGGGCAGAAAAAAATTCTGTGAGACTCTTTATCTCCAATTGACCACCAAGAAAGCCATAAATGTGGTTTAAGTGGTAGAGTGCCACCCTAGAGCAAAAAAGCTTAAGGGACAGGACCCAGGCCCTGAGTTCAGCACACCAAATAAATAAATAAGTAAATAAATAAATAAACAAATAAGGCCCTTTCTAGCAGTGAAGGCCTTTGGGAACATTGTGTTGTTACACAGACTCATCACAAAGACAAAGTTATACAATTTGACTTACGTAAGTCACCTAGGAGTCAAATTCACAAAGAGGAGTGGAATGGTGCAGCCAGGCAGGCATGGGGTGGGGTGGGGAGCTACTGTTGGATGGATATAGAGTTTCAATTTTGTAAGATGAGAAAGTTCTGGAGATGGCTGGTACATCTGGGCACACTAAACATGTCTAACACTAGTGAATAACACTCTTGAAAAAGGTTAATATACAGGACTGGGAAGGTGGCTTAGTAGTAGAGTGCTTGCCTAGCATGCATGAAGCCCTGGGTTGGATTCCTCAGCACCACATACATAGAAAAAGCAGGAAGTGGTGCTGTGGCTCAAGTGGTAGAGTGCTAGCCTAGAGCCAAACAAGCTCAGGGACAGAGCCCAGGTCCTGAGTTCAAGCCCCATGACTGGCAAAAAATTAAAATTTAAATTAAGAAAATATATGTTATACTACATTTCCTGCCAGTATAGAAACAGTAAAAAAATTAAACCAGGAACTTGAGCTATGGGGGAAAATAAAAGGCAAGAATAAACAAAAGGCCCCGAGTTCAAGCCTCAGCACTGGCACAGGAAAGGGAGAGAATTTAAACTAGCCCCTTTCAAAAAAGATAGCAGAAAATGTTACATTTAAAAATCTGATCGTGGGGCTGGGAAGGTGGCTCAGTGGTAGAGTGCTTGCCTTGCATGCATGAGGCCCTGGGTTCGATTCCTCAGCACCACATAAGCAGAAAAAAAAAAAGCCGGAAGTGGTGCTATGGCTCAAGTGGTTGGTAGAGCGCTAAACTGAGCTGAAGAGCTGAGGGACAGCACTCAGGCCCAGAGTTCAGGCT